TTTCAACCCTAAAACTACGCCCTTATTATCTTTTGCTGACACATATTTAGCAATTGTCTGTTAACATCAACGTATATCTAAAGGTAAATTGAGTAAAATGGTGCATTTCCATGAAAGCAACATCTGATCATGGAGTACATACATCCCAAAATACATAAAACTCATGCTGGATTTAAAAAAAAGCATTGTGAACAAAAACTTAATGTTACTCCCAACTTTTTGGCCTGTAATGGCCTTGCTTCCAAACATTTGGCCTGTAGTGTACAAAGAAATAGCAATACGGTCTTACAACATAGCATGCCAGTACAGTTAGCCGAGTCATTGCACAATCCATGGTGAGGCTCATCTGGCTGCTGCCTCACCGCACGTCTCTTCTCAGTATTTGGAGAGTAAATGTGAAAACTCTTCAATTTTGAATTAAAAATAATCTAAAACTGGTGAAGTTGAATGAAAAATACATTTCACTGGATAAATATAATAATTTAATTAATTTTTTCATTTTTTTCCTTTCAATGATGACAGGTGAGGCATGGCCTCTACTGCCTCCCCTGACTGCATATTACTGCTAATGATATATGAGCAAAAAAATCTTTGCCAGGTTTTGCAGCTCTGTGCACTTTGCTCCCCCAAACACCCCCATGCTCTGCAGCAAGGAGCTATGCTGTGCACTCTCATCCTGACAACATTGAATTCAATCCAAATATATGGTGAGGAGGAAGTAGAGGGAAAATCCTTTAGCTGCTCAATGTGGAGTTGACTCATGAAAGTTAAACAGTTTTCACAGTGCATATCCAGCGTGCTTCTGAGTTAGAAAGAAAGCCTGTTCAAATAAAACAAAACAAACAAACAAACTTTAATAGCCTAATAGCAAAGGCATGTGTAAACAGGTTTAACACCAGACATTTCCAAGCTAACCCCTAATTAATATGACAGTTGTAATGTCTAAGTAAAACCAAAGGTCTTTTTATACAGATATGTTGTTTCACAGTCACCTATAGGTGGAATTGTTGAATTAGTGGGCTAGATTTCACCTTTATTTACTTTTAGACATGGCACTGGGCACTAAGTTTTTCTCTTAAAAACAAGTAGAAAAAGAGGCTCTGATAAATTAAATGTTCAATAAAATAGAAACAGTGGACCAACACCATAAAAAACATCAGTCTCGGTAATCATTTCTTTAAACTGTACTGTTAAATGACAGTCAGTCAAAATCCTGTTCTGGTGAAAAACTGTGACAGTTTCTTGCTTTTGGATCCTGGGTTTCCTAAAGAACTGAGCAGTTTTTCCTCCCTTTCCGTCTCATTAATGTCTCAAGATATCAATTAGTTTGCTTACAAAAGAACAGTCATAGGTCCCAAAAACACTCAAAAATCCTACATAGGTTTTGGAACCATAATGCCTGCTCTTCAACCCCCCCCCCTCCCAAAAAAAAAAAAATACAATAAAATAAATAATAATAATAATAATAATAATAATGATAAAAGATAAATAACGTGTGTTCGACATGTCAGTCAATGCTATCTTACTTTAAAATAACAGGTTTTAAGGTTGAATTGTACCCTTGATGGTTTCTGATCAAATACTAAGTACGAATGTTTTAAAATAGCTAAAACAAACAAACAAACAAAAAAGTGTTAAGGGTCATACAAATGTGCGGACGACGTCTGCCCCTTCGTTGGGTGAAGCCAGCAGCCAGATGGGCTGCAGTATAGATCATAAATCCTGCCTCCTCCAGCAGGCTAATTGCCTGTATAAAAAAGAAAAAAACTGAAAACAGAGACAGGCTGGGAGCTGTTGAGGAAGAGCTTTGTGTGTCTTTCTTTCATTCCTACCAGGATATCAGCTTTGTGTTCATCTAAACGGCCAGGGCTCACGCTGAGTGAGTATAAATAAATGTAGAAACTATATTGTAGGGATGCACCAAAAATTCGGCCACTGAAAATGGCTGAAAAGTGCATTTTTGATTTTCGGCCAAAACACTTTTCTCACTGAAACAACACAGCTTAAACAGATGTTGTTATGAAGCGAACAAAAACTGCAACCAGTACGCGCTTGTCTGGATAAGAGCCAAAATGTCTGTGGTGTATTTTTATGTATCTAAGAACTACAACTAGTGGTTTGCATAGTGTGTAATGCAAACATTTCAAGAGGGGGTGCATCTGCAAAGAGTTTCTTCACTTCAGGTTTAATTTATCACCTGATATCCAAACATCCCGATTACCATTCTGAATATGAGATGAACGCGGCACAGAACAGAAAAAATCCCTCCGAGCACGCCCACTCCATCTGTGGCGGATGTTGCAGCCGAGTACACAAGTTTCACTTCTTCTCACTTTTATTGATAGATTTAACAGAAATCAACATTGCAGACTCATTCTTAGCTCCCGCTCTCGGCTGCTTCAAAGTAAACATACTGACCCTACTTATTCTTCTAGCCGCATCTCTACCACTCGCAACAGCTTCTGAATTGTTTTTGTCCCACTCACGGGCGCCATCTAAAGGTGTAAAGGTGTAAACCTGCTGACTCAAAAACTCAAAACTCAGATTGCAGTTGCCGAAATTAATATTAATTTCATATTTAACATTGATTAAAATTGATTTATACAATTGCAATGCCTTGATTTTGGTGAGATTAGTACACAGTCATAACCATAAATGCAATGGTACTAATACTTGGGGGAATAATTTTCTTCGGTTTTTGGCCTTGGTTTCCTCATTTTCGGTTTTGGCAAAGAATTTTCATTTCAGTGTATGTATCACTACATTCTATAATATATACTGTGTTTGGCTATGGAGTGCCATTTTGGTTGGTGGTGTGCCCCAGGATTTTGTCAATGTAAAAAATGTGCCATGGCTCAAGAAAGGTTGAAAAACACTGCTTTAGACATTAATTACACAGAATATAACTTTTTCTCTCTCCTGGTTGTGATGTTGACATGTAGTTACTGTAAGACTGGTTTGTGTTTAAGTCCTCTTTTTTTCTGTGCAGCTCCATTTTTAAAAGCTATTAGGGGGTTCATGTTTTCAGTGATTGACACTTGATACAGCCTCTGGACGTACGAAGATTGTGTAGCTCTCCAGGGGGATACGTTGTTTGAGCTGAGCATTATCACAGTGACTCTCCCACCAAATGTGTAAAATGCTACTGCGCAAGTGGTGGTTCCAGGAAGAGGAGAAAATCCTGGAAATACAGAGAGCAATTCAGCTTCAAATTTGTATATTGACAGGAGGCGGAGCCAAGTTGTTTGTATACAGTCTATGGTAGAGACAGACACTCATGTAGAGTGCCATCAAGTCAGCAGCAATCAACCTCAGATTATAATGGAGATGCCCTAAAGGTAGTAAAATGTACATTTGCTATATGCCCATGCAAACAAGTGACTGCTATTTTAGTAGTAAGTGCTCAACATGAAAGAAATCCACTCAAGTAGACTTTAACCGTAATCTCCAGACCACACAGATGCAGAGAGTGGTTCTGTGCCAAAGTAAGCGAGTGTGTTTATCATTTGTTAAAGTGTGTGTCTTCATGTGTCTTTGTATGTGTTTTTGAGTCTGTCATCTCTGCTGCTGTTATCGTGTTTCTGTACACTCCGGACCAAAGAGAGAAAAAGAGACTCAGGAGGGAAGAACAAGTGTTCCATAACTTAATGAATTTCATTTGATATTTTTCCTTTCAAACTATTTCACGCATGGAAAAACCCTGTAAATCCATAAACAAACACATAAACAGGCAGAGAAAGATTGATGCATTATGAATAAATCATCTGCGTACTGAAACTCAATATTAACTCTGCGTTGCCTGGAGGCTTTAGAGGGAGCTTAGGACTGATCCATCTTGATGTCTGAGGAACTAACTGGGAGGCGAGCGCTTTAGCAAGTACTTATCCTGGGAACTTAATTACCGAAACAAACGATGATTGTGGTGATATAGAAGAAATCATTCTCCGTTATTGTTATTCTTTACCTCAGGTTGTTTCCTGAATGTGTTTCTGTCATTATCAGCATCATCATCATTAACACGTCTGAGGAATAAATAAAAGTCAATCAGGCATCAGGTCTTAAGCTGCTGATGCTGGAGCTGAAATACCTTCAATACTGCTGGCTGGATTACAATGAACATCTACAGGGATATTTATGGCTTACAATGGATGACTGTTCATGACTTCGCTAGCTACAAAACTTATGTCCAAAGGTGCAAAAAAAAAAAAAAAAAGGCACATAATCAGAATCCAACAAAAAGTGTCAAATAACACGTCAGAACCAATCTGGAAACAAGAAATTTGCTGATATAATGGGCATGTCTCTGAGGTGGGGTTTAACACAAAAAGGCAGGAACCTCAAAGAAAACGTAAAAGTTATTTGAAACAAAGTCAAATCAAACATTTATAATGTACACTTTATACCATGGGCGGTTTGTCCATAAGGGTGATGGTGCTACATACCACCAAAGGGGAAAAAAAGATTTTTTTAAAATCAAATTCTTCCACAGTGTTGTTGGTTGTGACAGTTCTAGACAGTTTCAGCTGCTATATATGTCACTGTCCAATCAGTGTAAGGCAGTGCTCCATGAGGAACTACCCCTTTGGGCTGATTTAGGTCAGGCTGAAAAGGACCCAAAGTGCTCCTATTGACTCTGATGTAAAATCATTTTTTAAAATTTCTGTCGTTACAATATATTCTGTATGGGTTCCGGGAGGGCTCGCCCCAATGGGCTTTTGTCGTACGTAACATAAGGATAGCTGGTGTAGCCACTATGTGCCAGTCCCTTTTAAGGTTAGCATGGCAAGTGTAAGAAGCTCAATCGTTCCCTTGAAAGAAATCCCCTTCAGTCATCGTAGCAATAAGGATAAACTGGCAAACAAACATTCGGGACCCCCTAAACCAAATTTAAATATCAAACACATTTCAACTAAGGGAGGGAAATCATACAACCGGGGATTTTTGCAGAGCTGGTATAAGTGGAAAACCTAACGCCTTATTCTGCACACTGTTTCAACCTGATGGCAGCACGGCAGACATCACAGCGTGGAGTCACTGACATGCACAATCTGTCGGAAAGGGTCAAGAAACATGAGTCTTTTAAAACCCTTATTGACAGTTGTCTTAAGTTTTCTGTGTTTGGGCAGTTGAACATTGTGACTCAGCTGGATGAGAGCTACAGGCTAGCGGTTCCTTGTCACAATGATGAGGTGAGATATCCTAGCCTGCCTTGTGTCACGTTCTGCGGTGTGTTTGAGTTGGCTCTGCAAGGCATGCTTACAGTAATGCTTATAGAAAATCAAGAACTGTAAATAAATACTACTAATGTTTTCAACTTGTATCTAGTACCTGTCGTGAGGACGGCCCCGTGTCTCCATGTGTCAATATCACCAGATCAATGGTTTATTTTACCGGTGTCTTACAAATGCGTTCTCATGCAAAGACCACCTTAATTAATGGTGAAGCAGATACCTCTCTCCATGTTCAACGGTAAACTGATTACCTGCCTACTAGTGTGTGGCAAATGTCTATCTATATTTATCTTGCAGTATAGTCCCACTGCGCGATGTGACATCAAAATGACATCTATTGAATGTATTTTTTCAACATCTAAATCAGGTCTCCTGAAGGTGCAGAATGAAAGTTCTTTTATGTCTTTTTCAGACGTCATATGGACATCCAATTCTGACATCTTGTGGACCTCCAAATCGGACGTTCAAATGACATGCAATTTCAGTCAAAATTGGCCTTCTTAATCAGGTCTCCTGAAGGTGCAGAATAAAATGTTTTTTTTATGTCTCTTTTGTACATCATATGGACGTCCAATTCTGACGGCTTGTGGACCTCCAAATTGGACATTCAAATGATGTGCAATTTTGGTCGAAATCAGGTCCCCTGGAGGTGCAGAATTAAAGTTATTTTTACGTCTATTTTTGACGTGGTCTAGATGTCTGATTGCCGCCGTTATGAACATCAATAAGACTTTCATTCTGTACTTCCAGAGGAGGTGCAGGATGTGAACCAATGTGCACCATGCAGAATGATAAGATTTTCATCTGGCGAGGTTCTGACGTAGCTCCAGACGTCTGATCAACATCTTATTAAATCAACCTAATTTCGACGTCCACTATTTACATAATGACATCTTCCACATTTTGTTTCAATACCTTTCATAACTATAGTTATGCACAGAGGTTTACAATCACAGCTGGCCTCCTTTCATTTCCCATCTCTTCATTTAACATCTTAAGGTAAAAAAAATAAAATAAAATAAAATCACTTCTGCAATTATAACATTGAAACTACATCACCCAAATTTCTGTCAGTTGAAGCTTTACATAATGCAGAAATAGCATTTTGCAATTGAAGTTGCCACTGAAGTTTGTAAAAAAAAATATTCTTTATATATGTAAAAATTATATATATATATATATATATAAACACACACATATATATATATATATATATATATATATATATATATGAAAGCAAACAAAGTATTTACACACACATTTTCAGCTAGACAAACCATTTACATTTATTTACAACTAACATGGATTTTTTTTTATTTTATTTTTTTTTACAAATATTAACACAATTTACAACTATTCCCCTGGACCATTTATAGTTATTAAAAAACTATTTACACAAACTACTTGCAACTAACTATAACTGTTTACAACTATTAAACATTTCAAAGCTATTCACACAATTAACATTTTAATTCTTGCAGTAGGTGTTATCCCCGCCACCCCTTCTTGCTGGCGCGTGCTTAAGGTGGTCTGTAATATGTTGTCTTCTGGCCCCCTCAGTGGCATTGGCCTGAGCTTTCATGACAGCATCTAGAGGAAAGGTAAAACTGTGCATAGTCACCATTTATCTGATCCTGTTTTATTCAAACAGACCATGTTGAGCCAAATTTAAAGGATTAAAAGATTGACTTTTTCATGACAACATGAAATACTTGCTCTTACCCAACACTGCAGTGTAGCACCCATCTTCTCTTTTTTCCCCTTACTTTTGAGATTAAATTGCCCCACCAAGCCATTGGTAAGGAGCCTATAATTGAATTACATACATGTGCGTAATATATTGGGCATTTCAGTTAAGCATGCAAACAACCTCTTTATTTTCCGCCCGAAAATGGTTAGTTCCCCCATGGTAGTCTTCCATTTTTACAGATCTGCCAAAAAAAAAAATCAGCCGATGAAGGCAGGCATCTAAGGAAAAGAGCGATATACAAAAAATATAAATAAATAAAAAATCCAGAAACCTTTTACCATTGATGTTCTAGATCATAACGAAGGGGCATCAAGCTAACCTACTATAGTAACCTAACCTGCCAGCTACCCTGCATTTAGCTTAAAGTGTATAATACACATATGAGCCAGCTGCAGTGAAAATAAGCATGATTGTCTGAGCAAAATTGATGACTTTGGGCCTTCCATCACAGGCTGGCCCCAAACTCCTGGCCTCGTTAAAAAGTTTGGACAACTGTCCTTCACTTAGCCATACAGGCTTTAAATTAAGTGAGACAGGTAAATAACAATATATGTCTTTTATTTGAATAAATATATGTCCTACCTTTAAGTAATTCAAAAGTTTCGAAGTACAAAGTGTGTCGAGGGTGCACGGCGGCCGTTGTCTTTTTCTTCCAGCAGATCGCGAATCAAGAGTGTGAGGGTTGGATGACGTCATCTTGCTTCAGAGTTTGGACACAGGATCTCAATGGGCTATGTGTCACATGACCATTTTTTGACCAATGACGACACCGTTGCAATGGCAACGAAAGTAAACAATATGGCACTCACCTGGCTGACATACAAATCCTAAATCCGAAAAGCTGAAATCTCACAATCCAGGGTTATATGTCCAGGTACTTTGTTGTGGAATAATCAGCAACACAGGGACTGTTAAAGGAAGCGAGTACTGATGACTCTGACTATGTGGTGCCACAGTCTGTCAAAATGTAATAATGGTTCACCATTTAATGATAGTTTACATTGAAGTAACAGTATAATTTAATTGTCATGCATTGTGCTGGTACATTTTATCATAACAAGAAGCGAAAATATGTCACACAATATGAAAACTATATTCCAATGCGAGAGTATAAAATGTAAAACATATGTGGTTTAAATATGCGAGTGTAATGGACAAGAGCAGATAAAGATAAAGGGTCCACATGGCTTCCACTTGTCCAGTGTGAGGCAGAGTGTTTGCAGGAGGACGAAGCAAGGAGAAAGAGGAGGAGGTTTGATGATGAGTGAAGATGACAGCTAATGGCGTAAAGACTGTCAGGGCACACAGTGTGTCTAAATAACCAGGTGCTGCGATTAAGTTTCTGCCTGGTTAAACAGTGGAATAATTGGTGAAGTTAGCCAGTTATTAGACTGGCTCTGCCACGCTGCGTCTGAGAGCCCAGGGACGGCCCCGCTATGCTAATTGGGCTATTTATACCGAAACACTTTGACCAAGCTCACTGGCTTTCCTTCCAATTCACTTTTCAGCACTTGTTTATTTTTACTGAGGACACAACAGTGGACTCAGCACCCTCCTCCTCATCTTCTCCCTCTCCTGAGCTCATTTTTCATTCCAGCGAAAGCTAACTGAACTTCTGTCCTCTGCCCTCTGTTTCTTTGTCCGTCTGTCTTTTTCTGTTTTTCACTCTGTGTTGTTTTCTCTCTCTCTCCTTTCTTGCACACAGCAGCTCTTTCTTTCCAGCCTTTTTGTATTGCTAATGTTGTGTTTTATGCATGCCAGCGTCTGTGTGAGAGACAGTCTCCTCTTCATGTAAATGTGTGTGAGAATGTGTGTGTGTGTGGAGATGGATGTATGTCAGTCAGTTAGACCTGCATCCCCTCAGAGTGATTAATAGAGCCAGCTGTGAAAACCAGACTGTCACTCTGTCTCACATATATAGCCACACTTATATTCTCACACACTTCTCACTATTTCTGTGGCATTTCTGGGTGAGAAATGAGCAGCTGCTTATGAGAGGCCACCTCCAACCACAGCCTCCTCCTCCTCCTCTTCCTCTTTAGAGTGTGATGGACTCTCTATTCTTTGTCCGTCTGTCACTTCCTATCTTTGCATCTGTATTCTCTCAGCCTTTTATTATCCCTATATCTCACCCTCCCTCTCCTCCTCTCCCTTTCTCACTCTTTTCTTGTATTTTATTATCTGTTCTTCTCCTTTCTCCCTGTCTTTCAGTCCCCTTCAGGCGAAACCCTCAAAACCTCCATCAGGAGCAAACAAGGCTTCTTGACATTCAATTTCCTGCTTGCCACGCACTTCTCCATTGTATGCACTTCTCCTTCTTTTCTGGGACTCTTTCAGTGGGAGCTGAATAGGTGGATGGATGTGGTGTTGGGCGAACTGGCAGAAGGATGGATGGGGTTGGATCAGGAGGGGACTGGGCTGCTTGTTTTGTGGAGTTTTGAGTGTCAGCATCCCTGGCTGGAACGAAAACAGCAAGGTCACTTTGTCAGGACTTTCAGTCTTTATTCCAGAAAACAGAAAAGCAATAGTGTTTAGGAGCTGTCAGCAATGAAATCAGGGAACAAAGATTCTCCCCAAGTAGTTTTTTGAGGGTCCTTTTTTTACTTGTGACCTAGTGTGAATGTGCAGACTTAAAAAGGACACCAGTGCATCAGTTTCCACTGCACATGCTTAAGCAAAGTAAATTATGTAAATAAATGAATAAGCAAATAAATATAGAAATGAAGTAACAGTTTTTCTCAGTTGCTGTGGTGCATTTCTCAGATCAGAATAAAAGTTCTCACAACTATTAGTTCCACAACATTGAGCCATTTGTGCACACCATCATAGTATTTTCTCATTCTTCTGAACAAATTGCAAATGCTCTTGGATATGTATCAGTTACTTTAATACCTAACCTAATTATCTGCTGTTTTATAACATTTTCATTTGCTCATGTCATGTCAGTCAAAATGAACTATACTTTTGAATGCTGAATAGTCATTCCCTTTAAAACTAATAGTCCTTATTTACAATATATGTACAATATCAATACATATATATATATGTATATATATATTTATACATATATATACATATATATATATATGTATTGCCTTTTGTGATGTTCAGTCCTGCATTAAGCCTGTGACTGAAGCTGCTCTGCTGAATCACCTGTATAGACAGGACATAATTTTCACTTGAAAGTTAAAGCACACATCGAGAGAAGTATAACCAAACAAGCCTTCAGTTAAGGCAGTTTGGTTGTATCATGCTTTTACATGTGCAAATGTTCAGAGGGAGTGTGACATAACACTCCACAACAGAAACCTCAGTCTGTAATAAACCTTATTTATATGCTGTACACATGTATGTAA